GATACATGTGAATATATGCAAAGCCACGTGATCACTAAGAAGCCGTTACAATTTTGCTCTAAGAAAGAAAAACCTCGGGTGTGTAACAACATGACTTAAAGAAAGTCGACAACTCTTTGAGTTTGTCCTTGTCCTAAGACGCTTTGGAAACATAAGTTTATCTTTCCGGAGAAGAGGTTGAATAATAGGGCCCTTATCGCATATCAGACTTCCGCCGTACATTTCACTCACATCCCTGCGGGCTACGTTTGAAGAATTTAACGAAATGTTATCCCTCCACCATTTCTAACATCCGGGCTGAGTTGTTCAAAGAGCCTGAATTTTAGCAAAATGAGGCAACGACGTTAGAATTCTTTCGTTCGACTTTCGTGGAAGGAAACAAAAATGATCGCGACCCAATCTCAACAGAGTTAAAATCACTTAAATCGAACCAAAGACATGCAAACTACATAAGCTGAGGGATAACGCAAGATCAAATCCCTATTGGTTTGATATTAAAAGCTGATTGGCTGAGAGAGTCGCGCGACTTCTCTCGACCAATCGCAGTGCATGGTAAAGCAAACCAAAGCAATCCCTGATTATTTTCAATGTCATGTCTGCAAACAATTTGACGCGGCTTCAACTTTAGTCGAAAGCTATTGTAACATATTCACATACGCATGCAAATAGCGCCATCTTAGCTACATAGACATTTCTGACGTCTGTGAAAAATTGGTAGTAGTATAGTCTGCCAATTTTCTCTCCCTCTCCAAAACGAAGAACACAAATCAAAGATCCAAAAAGGCGTGATTTTCAGTAGTTTTTGCTAAAGTACCTCGAGACATTTGATCGCGTGAAGATTTTGGGCTTCAGTTAAAACATCCGGTGTGAATTGAAACTGCGGAAGTTAAAAATCTTGTCTTACAGATAAATCTAAGAGCATTTGACTTGTTCTTTTCGTGAAAAATTTCGCATTCCATTTGCTTTGATATTCCTTTCTCCACGATCCACTCAGCTCATTATTCTTTCCTTCAGCTCTCTGAATTCCTTAATATTTATTTAGCCTTGAAGCAGGCGCCATTTGCGTCATATTTGAGACAGGGTCACACAAATCAAGTTGAAATAGGTGTTATTCGATCCGTTTCGGGTGAGGTTATGGCAAATGCTTGAAAATAAAATACTCGGAATTTCAAGTGTATCAGCGCGATGCTCTCACGTTTGCGAGGAAATCATGAAACGAATATTCGCGAACGTTACTTTCTGCAACCGTTACTTCATGCGCGCGGCTCTTTAGAATGATAGGCTTTTCCATTACAAATCGTAACAAATATTGTATTAATCATAAGGAAGTGAGAAATGTAAATGATTTAAGCTCTCTACTAGCAGCTACAAGGCGTTCTTAAAACGAGTCTGTTGTATGATGCATAGATTGAAAAAAAGGAATTTAAAACAACAGAACGTCAATGCCGAGCATTCGGAAATCTTAGAATTTCACGCAAAGAAAGGTATTGAAACGTAAACCATCACTGACGTTCAAAATTGATGGTCAGAACATTCGTTCCTCAGCTAAATACAAAACAGGAAACCGCTTCGAACTCATCCTAAAATTTCAACTTACCAAGCAAAGCCACAAGAGCACTGAGTAGAGTTAATGATCCAATCATGATGCGTACACTGAACTGCAAACTACACTCTGCAAATGGAGTCTCCAGACGTCTTGTGTCCTAAGGAAAGCCACGAATGGGTTCCCGTCATCCCCTTCACTGCGATCGTTTGACAAGTTGTTAACGCCTTTCGACGAGAGGCTGGGAACTAGTCAAGGATTAAATTCTCCAGAAACCATATAATTTCTATGATGCATATGATCTTATGAAACTAATCACGTTTTGAGATTTCAAACAGTATTTTGTCCTTTTGTCGGGAACTGGGACTCACATTATCACATCGTGTAATCTAAGCTTTGACTACAGAAGTATGTAAAGTATGTAAACGCGTCCGGAAATACACTCCCAATAATTTCGTAAAACCGAAGCGTTGTCAGTTCTCTTAACCTTCACTCGCGAACCTGCGAAGACCTTGTAACCTCAGTTGTGTTTATGAAACGTATAAAATCCACCTCGAGATTTCTCTTGGATACTTCCTCTTGCGGCCAGAGAATTCTAGGAAACTTTTGATTAAAATTCGACGAAGAACGCCCCCAGTTTGAATCTCGTCTAGCACTCATACTCTGGCCAGTTAGTACCTTTGTCGTAACTAAGTCTCAAATCTGTTGTTTTTCTTCTCGTTTCTTCGAGATCTCGTAAAA